ACTGGAAGTTCAGGCCACCACAATAAGGCAAGAAAAAGAAATAAAAGACATACAGAATAGAAAGGAAAAATAAAACTGTTCCTATTTGCAGATGACATTATTGTCTATGTACAAAATCCCTAAGGAGTCTAAAAAAGCCATCCTAGAACTAGTAAGTGAGTTTAGCAAGGTCACAAGATAAAAACAAACACACAAAAATTATTCACATTCGTGTATACCCAAACAAACGTGGAAACCAAAATTTAAGACACAATGCCACTTATTAATATAATCACTTCTAAAAAGAAAAGACACACGAGGTATAAATGTAACAAAACATGTATAGGATCTTAAATGCTATTACAAAATGAAATCACAAAATGCTGACTAAAGAAATTAAAGAAGAGCCAAATAAATGGAGAGATATACTACGTTAGGGACTGAGAGACAGAGTCAACATGTCAGTTCTCCCCAAACTGATTAATAGTTTTAATGCAATTCCTATAAAAACCCCAATAAGGTTTTACTTTTTTATAAGCATAACAAGCTTATTCTAAAATTCATATGGAAAAGTACAAGTCCTAGAAGAGCAAACCAATTTTGACAAAAAAGGATAAAGTGGGAGGAATCACTCTGTATAACAAACCTTACTAGATTGTTCTAGTAATCAAGACTGTGCAGTATCGTGGAGGGATAGACACAAAGACCAACGGAACACAGCACAGAACCCATCAACAGCAGCCCACTAAGGTGCCCGACTGACTTCTGACAAAGATACGAAATAAATTAAATGGAGCAGGGCCAGGTGCCATGGCTCACGCCTGTAATCCCAGCACTTTGTGAGGCCGAGGCAGGTGGATCGCTTGAGGTCAGGAGTTCAAGGCCAGCCTGGCCAACATGGCAAAACCCCATCTCTACTAAAAATACAAAAATTAGTCGGGCATAGTGGTGGGTGCCTGTAAAGCCAGCTACTCAGGAGGCTGAGGCAGGAGAATCGCTTGAACCTGGGAGGTAAGAGGTTGCAGTGAGCTGAGGTCACACCACAGCATTCCAGCCTGGGTGGTAAGAGCGAGACTCCATTTAAAAAAAAAAATTGTTTTTTAATGGAGGGACTGACTTGTCTACAAACGGTGCTGGAGCAATTAGACATCCATAAACAAACAAAAATAATAAATGAAGCTTAACCCAATAAACCTCACTCCTTATACAAAAATTAACTCAAAATGGCTCATAGACAAACAGAAAACTATAAAAGCATAGGAGAAAATCTGTAGGATCTAGGAAAAGAGTTCATAATCTAAGAAAGGAAAAATTGATAAAATGGATTATATCCAAGTTTCATATTAAAAACTTTATTTAATTAAAGATTATACTAACACTGGCCAGGCATGGTGGCTCACGCCTGTAATCCTAGCACTTTGGGAGGCCAAGGCGGGTAGATTGCCTGAGCTCAGGAGTTTGAGACCAGCCTGGTCAACATGACAAAACCCCATCTCTATTAAAAATACAAAAATTAGCCAGGCGTGGTGGCGGGCGCCTGTAATCCCAGCTGCTCGGGAGGCTGAGGCAGGAGAATCCCTGAGATCGTGCCACTGTACTCCAGCCTGGGTGACAGAGCGAGACTCTGCCTCAAAAAAACCAAAATGATACAAAAAGCTCTTGCTCAGAGAAACACCTTGTTAAGAGAACGAAAAGACAAGTTACAGAGTAGGAGAAATTACTTGCAAACCACAACCTGACAAATTGCTAGTTTCTGGAACATAGGAAGAACTCTCAAAATTTAACAGTAAAAAACTCAGTTTTGGTTGCTGGGCGGGAGGGAGGTGCTGGCTGCAGAGGGAAGGAGCTCCCAGTGGCTGTGGAGAACCCAGCCCAGCTGAGCCGAGCCACAGCCACCATGGTGGCTACCGAGGCCACTCACGAGAACCACGACACCTCCACTGAGAGTGGAGACAAGTTCAACCAGGACCCTCCGTTTGAGCCAATAGCTTCTATTCCTGAGCAAGAAATTAAAATGCTAGAGGAAGAGGAAGAGGGACTTTTTAAAGTGTGGGTGAAACTCTTCTGATTTGTTTCAGGGAACAATATCCTGGAATGGAAGGGTGGAGGCACTGGCAACGTCAGGCTCCTGAAGCACAAGGAGAAAGGGGCCTCATGAGGAGGGACAAGACCCTGAAGATCTGCCAGCCCCTAAGTCACGCCCATGATGGAGCTGAAGCCCAACGCAGGCAGCCACTGTGCTTGGGTCTGCAATACCCACGCCGAATTCAGCCATGAACGCCCAAGCCAGGGCTGCTGGCCAGCCGCTTCCTGAATGCTGAGCATGCACAGAAATTCCAAAGTTCAAAGAATGCAAAAAAGACATTGAAGAGAGACAAAAGAAAGGACCGGGCAAAAACAACAATGCCGAAAAAGTGGTGGAAAAGCTAGAAGCTCTTTTGGTGAAGAGGAGACTGAGGAAGACACTGAGGAAAAGCATTAAATTCTTCCTTTCTTCCCTTTTTCTTTTTTTTGAGATAAGGTTCTCACTCCATCCCAGAGGTGGGTACTGCAGTGGGCACGCATTCGGCGCTCATGCGCCTCCAGCTCCTGGGCTCAAGTGATCCTTCCCCAGCTCAGCCCTGAGTAGTTGGAGATCACAAAAGTGCCCACACCATACTGCCAGCTTTTTTTTTTTTTTTTTTTTTTGAGACGGAGGTCTCGCTCTGTCGCAGGTGGAGTTTGCGTGGCCGGATCTCAGCTCACTGCAAAGCTCCGCTGGGTTTACGGCCCCATTCTCTGCCTCAGCCTCTGAGTAGCGCTGAGACTGAGGGCGCCGCATTCGCTCCATGCCAGTAGTTTTTTTTGTGATTTTTTTCTTTTTAGTAGGAGCAGGGTTGTCACCGTGTTAGCCGAGGATCGTCGTCGATCTCCTGACCTCCGTGATCGCCCCGTCCCGGCCCCTCTAAAGGTGCTGGCGATTACAGGCTTGAGCACGTGTGCCCGGCCATTTTTTTGTGTTTTTAGTAGGAAGGGGTCCTTGCTATGTTGCCCAAGGGCTGTTGTCTTGAACTCCTAAACATAAGTGATCCACGCACTCAGCCCCCACAGTGCTAGGGATTATAGGATGGCCACTACACCCAGCTGCACTTTTTCATATATATTTATTTTGGACAGTCTCACTTGTCCCCGAGGTGGTGTATCTTGGCATCACTGCAACCTCCCACCTCCAAGTGCTGGGATTAGTGCACCTGCCACCAGTGCCCAACTAAGTTTTTGTATTTTAGTAGAGAAGTTACCCATGTTGTCCAGTATCTCTAGTGGTTCAAGGTGAGCACCTGCCTTGGCCTCCCAAAGTGCTGGGATTACAGGTGTGAGCCACTGCGCCCAGCCTCCTTTTTCAATTTTACCATGTCCCTCCTTTTCAGTTTGTTTTTATTGTGTTTTGTTTTCACAAGGGACTTTATATAAATAACTGGATTTAAAAAAAACCACTTTAAAAAAGTTCATTTGGAAAAAAAAACACGTCAACTAGAAAATGGACAAAAGACATGAATATGCAGTTCACCTAGGAGGATATATAGATGTCAAAGAAGCCCATGAGAAGATACTGGCGGGTGACGCCTGTAATACCAGCACTCTGGAAGGCTGAGACGGATGGATCGCTTGAGCCCAGAAGTTCGAGACCAGCCTGGCCAACACAGCGAGGTTCCATCTCTACATAGAAGTGCAAAAATTAGCTAGGCGTAGTGGTGCAATCCTGTAGTCCCAGTTACTTGTGAGGCTGAGGCAGGAGGATTGCTCGAGCCCAGGAGGCAGAGGTTGCAGTCAGCCGAGATCGTGCCACTGCACCCCACCCTCGGCAACAGAGCACGACCTTGTCTCAAAAATAAATAAATAAAAATACTTTTTAGAAAAGAAAATATGCTGTCATCATTAGTCAGTAGGAAATACAAATGAAACCACAAAATCTTTCTCATAGATTGAGCCTCTGATGGTCTGAATATTCCCCCCTAAATTCCTGTGTTGAAATCCTTACCTCACAGGTGATATTAGGAGGCAGGGCCTTTGGGAGGTGATGAGGTGATGAGGTGATGAGGTCATGGGGGCGTGGCCCTCAGGAATGCAATTCTTGCTCTTATTCATGTGTTTATTTTTTGAGATGGAGTCTTACTCTGTCGCCCAGGCTGGAGTGTAGTGGTGCGATCCTGGCTCACTGCAACCTCTGCCTCCCAGGTTCAAGTAATTCTACCTCAGTTTCCTGAGAAGCTGGGATTATAGGTGCACGCCAGCATGCCCAGTTAATTTTCGTATTTTTCATAGAGAGAGGGTTTCATCATGTTGGCCAGGCTGGTCTCAAATTTCTGTCCTTGGGTGATCCACCTGCCTCGGCCTCCCAAAGTGCTGGGATTACAGGCATGAGCCACCATATCCGGCCTGATTCATGCTCTTATAAAAGGGACCCTGGAGAGATTTCTCACCCCCGGCCTGTCCCACTTCCACCACGTGAGGATGCAGTAAGAGGGTGCTGTCTATGAGCCACAAAGTGGGTCCTCACCAGACATTACATCTGCCTGGATTGTGGACTTCCCAGCCTCCAGACTGGTGAGGAATAAAATATCTGTGGTTTATGAGCCACTCAGTTTATGGGATTTTGTTAGAGCATCTTGAACAGACATCTTACTTAAGAATTCCTTAAGTAAAGGAATTCCTTACTTAAAACAATTCCTTTAAAAGAGGTGAGATGTGAGAGAGAATGAGAGGAGGAGGAAGAGGAGGAGGAAAAAGATTAAGGGAGGCGAAAGAGAGAGGGGCAGTTGAAGGCGAGCTCCCACCCACGTACAGAGAGGTGAACATATCTGCTTTAGCAGAGGGACCCCACCTTGCGATGTCAGGGCCCTTCAGGTGCCTCCACCCAACACTAGAAACCTTGTGGTCACATTCTTACAACCAAAGGGCACCCGGAGCCTGCCCTCTTGTTGCCAGGGGGCAGCTCCGTGCCGAACCCCGGGCCCCACCCACACGGCGTGCGCTGTGCTCACCACAACAATCATGTCCCAGAGCTCCTTCAGCAGGCGGACCTCCCGGTGGCAGGCCTTGAGCTGCTTGTAGTCGGGGACGGTGACCTCGAACAGGCCCCCGGACTTGGACAGCTCCTCCATGATGCCTTCCATGGCCGAGATGCTCTTTTGTTGCTAGGGGAGGGGAGGGGAGGGGGCTGTCAGTAGGGCTGCCTACCCTAAGCTTCGCCCCACCCCACGCCCCGATGTTCTGCTCATCTCTCCAGTGTGCCCTCCCTGATAAACCTTCTGGGAGGAGGTGTCAATACAATGGTGTCCCACCTGGAGGGAGGACAGAGCCCTCCATCCCCCAACGCCTCCTGGGTCCTGCCTGCAGGGGAGGGCAGGTGAGCTCTACCCACTCCAGTGTGGGGACTGACTCCCAATGGGCATGGTACAAATGCCTCATTTCCTCCTGAGAGCTCCTGATTTCCCAGCATTTCTTCCACTTTCATATATTTTTATCTTATTAAAAATGATTTAAGTAATGCTTTGAAATGAGATAATTGAGAGAAGCAAAGAGGAAAAATCCCCAGTGTCCTTACAAATCCTGCGACTAAGAGTTGGCACCTGGTGTTAGTGGGTGTGTTTGCATGGACACGTAATGGGGCAGGCTGTGGCAAAGGTGGGCTCGGAGTGTGTGCACACACATGGACACGCAGGGACCACCTGCCCTGGTCAGCAGCTGGAGCTCTCCACAGCTCCCCTAGGATGGGCACAGGGTACCCCTCACCCCAAATCTTTCCAGAAAACCCAGCCCGGGGCCCTAGGGAGAGAATGGCTGCATCTCCATTGTTGCTTGAGGAACGTGACATGAGGAAACAGCCATGAGGGAGGGTCGGATTGGAGCTGGAGGCCAAAGAGCTGAAGCTCAGGGAGGGGAAGAGTGGGGCAACCCTGAGGACCCTGGGGTTCACATGTGCTAGAGCCTGTGAGGCGGAGGTGCAGGCAGGGCTGGCCCAGCAGGACCTGGGCACCGTACTGGGAGCAAAGAGGCACTGACGAGGGCCCTACTGGGCCTCAAGAGGCCTTCCTGGGCCCTGAGCACCCCCACACGCTCCTGCCCACAAGAGCCTTTTGGGCCTGAGCTTGAGCGGGCTGCCAGGTCCAGGGCTGTGTGAATTTGCACTGGATGTGATCATGAACTTGGACAGTGGGAACAGAATGGGAACATGAGTGACGCGTGGCTGCTGCCAGATGTGGTGGGTCAGGAAAGGCAGCATGCAGGGAGTGATGGCAGGTGAGTGTTAAGCCCAGGAGACAGGAAGCTGCTGAATGTGAACAGAGTGGGGATTAGGGGGCGGAGCCAGGCTAAGGGACTGTGGGTCACACAGGGTGTTAAGAGGCCTCAGCCGTGGAGGCCTGGAGCCACGCTCTGAGCAGCGAGACACAGAGGGGACACCCCGTGGTCTGGAAGCTGCTGGGTTTGCATGTTCACTCACATACCCACGCATGTGCTTGCACACATATGCGCATGCGTACACATAAGAGCACTTGTGCATGGCCCCAAGGTCAGTCCCACGGAGGCCACGTTTCTGGACTTGAAAGAATAACAACTTGAGTAAAGAAAGCAGTGGGGTTCCCAGCCTTACCCGCCGATCTCACCCTTGAGCAAAAATACCTTATTCAGGGACTTGTAGGGGTTGGGGTCGCTGAAGGAGAACGGGGCCTTGTGCCTGAACTTCTCCCTGAACTCATGCTGCTTGAGCTGCGAGAGAAGAGAGTAGGGTACAGAGGGTCACGGGGCGGCCACCTGCCCCGAGGGTGGCCCCACTTTGCATGCCGCAGGGCCCTGTGTGAGCCCCACGCTGCTCCCCGGAAATCCCGCCCCCTACCCCAGGTACAATACCTCGAACTGCTGGCACTTCCGCCGCAGGATGCTGACCTCGTTGGCCTGGAGTGGGGCCACGTTCTGCTTCACCTGAATGGCCAGTTTCTTGGTGTTTGTCCAGTGCTCCGGCAGCTCCTGCGGGAAGCGAAGGTGGAGGAGGGCTCCCTTCTCATTTCTTTTCTTAAACCTTCTATTGCGAAATAATTAGAGACTTGTGGGAAGCTGCAAACACAGTGCAGGGGCCGGCGCGGGGGCTCACACCTCTAATCTCAGCACTTTGGGAGGCCTGGGTGGAAGGATCACTTGAGCCCAGGAGTTCCAGACCAGCCTGGGCAACAAAGTGAGACCCCGTCTCTACAAAAGACACACAAAAGGTTTAGCTGGGCGTGATGGCATGGGCCTGTAGTCCCAGCTACTCAGGAGGCTGAGCCGGGAGGATCACTTGAACTCGGGAGGCAGAGGCTACAGTGAGCCAAGATTGTACCACTGCACTCCAGCCTGGGTGACAGAGTGGGACCCTGTCTCAAAAAAACCCCAAAAACCAGCCTCCTTAATGGCAACCTAGGACATCAACTTTGGTGTCTCTGTTAACTAGACCAGAGAATGTACTCACCTTTCATCATGTTTTTAAACCTGATCTATTTGTGTGTGTGTGTGTGTGTGTGTGTGGTCTCCCGTGCCATCTGATCCCACATATAGATTTGTGCAAACACCGCCACAATCAAGATACGGATTGTCCATTACAACAGAGGAATCCCCTTTCTATCCCTCCACCACAGTCCTGCCCCTGGGGACTGCTCAGCTCTTCTCCAGCTCTATAATGTTGTCATTTCCAGAATGGCTGCAACAATTAGATGAGTTTTTGTATTTCCCAAGTTCCCCACTCTTGGGTGAATAGTATAATCGTAAATGTTTAATTATTATTTATTCTTTTTTGAGACAGAGTCTCACTCTATTGCTGAGGCTGGAGTGCAGTGGTACAATCTCGGCTCACTGCAACCTCTGCCTTCTGGGTTCCAGTGCCTCAACCTCCTGAGCAGCAAGGATTACAGGCGCCTGCCACCATGCCAGGCTAATTTTTTAATTTTTAGTAGAGATGGCATTTTGCCGTGTTGGTCAGGCTGGTCTTGAACTCCTTGCCTCAAGTAATCCGCCCACCTGGGCCTCCCAAAGTGCTGAAATTACTTTGGGAGCCCATTCTGGCGACTTTCATGAAGGCATGAGCCAACACACCGGGCCATAAAATATTTTAAAGAAAAATAAAAAATCCCAGCCCATGAACTTTTGGCCCACAGCAGACACTTCTCTATTTCTTCTACGGTTGCTGACTCTATGGCTTCTGTCTGCATTTTTTACTACCCCAGTTGCCTCGTTTGCGGCTTGGAGCACCTTGGGGTGGGACAGCTGAGAACCTGCTGAGTCCTTTTTTTTCTTTTGACAGAGAATCTTGGCTCTGTCACCCAGGCTGGAGTTCAGTGGTACAATCATAGATCGCTGCAGCCTTGACTTCCTGGGCTCAACCAATCCTCCCACCTCCTGAGTAGCTGGGACTACAGGTGTGTACCACCATGCCTGGTTAATTTTTTAAATTTTTTACAGAGACAAGGTTTTCCTGTGTTGCCCAGGCCAGGGCCCCTCCCTCTTGTCACCCCCAGGGCTATGGGGTCTTGGGGACTGGCTGGAGTCAGCATAAGATGGGGGAGTGGGCCCTATCTGTAGCTGGACACAGAGAAGGGGAGAGGGAGAGGGAGGGAGGAGAGGCGGATGGGCTGGGAGGAAATGGAAACTCCAGGCCAGCCTCAAGAGAGGAGGGAGTGGAATCTCCTCAGTGGGCACACCTAGAGGTGGCTGGGGGGGCAGCTCTAGGACACACCCTCTCCATCCTTCCACCCTTGCCCTGCACACACACCTCCATGCTGACAGCTGAAGTTCTTTGAATTCTCAGTCAAGTGCTGTGCAAACGCAGCTGCCAGCCCCTCCCCCCACTTCAGCTGCCTAATCTCTCCCCAGGGTCCCCCGACCTTGTTCTTTTTCCAGCATCCTGGCACCCAGCTCCACTGGGCACTTCCACCAGGCACTCAGGAGGATTTTGTATTTTTGTATTTGCATTTTGTATATATATATATATTTTTTGAGACAGAATCTCTGTCACCCAGGCTGGAGTACAGTGGCGTGATCTCAGCTCACTGCAACCTCTGCCTCCAGGATTCAAGCAATTCTCCAGCCTCAGCCTCCTGAGTAGCTGAGACTACACCGCCATGCCTGGCTAATGTTTTGTATTTTTGTAGAGATGGGCTTTCACCATGTTGCCCAGGCTGGTCTCAAACTCCTGAGCTCAGGCGGTCCACCCGCCTCAGCCTCCCAAGGGGCTGGGATTATAATGAAGGCATTTTTAATCCAACAAAACACCAGTGGAATGGAGGGAACACTGGAGTCACCGTAGAGGCAGTCTCCAGGGTCTCCTGTCCCCTGGAAACCTCCTCCCTGCACCTCCCCGTTCCATCGGGATCCGGTGTCCAGAGGGGATCTAGCCTGCAGCGTCCCCCGTGGTCGTGTGTGATGGGCTGGTCCGTGGTTGAGGTCGGGCTGGCTCTTCCTTTGGTGGTGCTTCCTGCAACTTTCTCCCTGCTCACCTGGACGAAGCCACGCCCACCCACCACATACCTGCAGCTTCAGGTGGATCTCCTCAGGCATCTCCTCCCCGTAGGTCTTGAGCAGCTCGATGGTTTGCTTCAGGGGCTCAAACATATTGTCGGTGGCCACCTGCCTCTCCTTGACCTTCATCAGGTGCCCCATCACCTCCACCAGCCCGTCATAGTCCCCCTCCTTCAGGGGCTTGGTCAAGCCCATTCTGGCGACTTTCATGAAGGCTTCCAGGTCAGCCAGGCTAAGGGACAAGGGGACCATTTGTGATGGGCCCAGTCCCCCTTGGGCCCACCCTTGATGGTACGGAGCCCCATCAGAGGGGGACGACCACGGTGAGGTCAACTGGCCATCACCGAAGGCCCCAGCTGGGGAGGGAGCACCCCTGCCCACCTTGGATCCCTTCAGCTCGATCAGCCCGTGCCCGGACATCACCCCATGCCTCAGCAGCTTAGCTCAAGTCCATCTCTGAGTCCCAGGCTACGGCCACATCCCAGAGAGGCCTTCACTAGCCTTCCAGATGGATTTCAGCCAGGCAGTGCTCTCTCCTGGCACTGTGCCCATCACAGCACTGATGGCCACCTATCATTCCACGGCTGCTGGTCTGTTTGTTTAGCACCAGCTTTCCCTGCCAGACTTCAGGTTTCCTCCACATCTGGCACCTGGGCAGAGCAGGTGCTTGGTACACTGCGGTTGGAGGAGGGACAGTGCTTGCTCACAGCCCGGTGACACCTTTCTGCTCACGCTTGGTGGGGTGAGCTTTGGAGCCCGAGTGAGCCTTGGAGCCCGTCCTCCACCCCTGCTATCCCGGAGGAGGCACCCAACAAATGCTACCCACTCAAGCGGAGGGCCATTCCCTGGTGGGCTTCCAAGGACATGGCTGGACGCCCACCTGTTGGTGACATGGTTGCTCAGGTGCTGCTTGAACATGAAGCCCCAGCGCCGGATCGTGCTGAGCAGGGCCTGCTTGAAGGGGCGACAGTCACACTGCAGCCAGCCGTGGAACACCTTGGTGTTCTCGCACTCAGACACCTCCTCGTACAGCTTCTCGTAGGAGTCGATCTGGAAAACACGGCCACCGGCGGCCTGTCATAGCCTGCAAGCCTTGGGGGGCATCAGCATGGGCCTCAGTCCAGGCGGTTCCCGCACTGCACCTGCGCTGCTCACCTGCTGGCCACTATGGGACCAGGGTCAGCAGAGGGCAGCGTGGGGCACACGGGGGCCCTCATGCCAAGTTATTGTTCCTTCCAGCCCCAGAGTCTAGCCCCAGAACGTGCCAGTTCCCAAGAAGGGGGCATGGCACCCCACACAGGCCTGCACGGGGGAGCATCAGGGGCAGTCAGGAGGCAGAGGGAGCCGGGGGAAATGGGGGCAGTAAAGAGCCTTTACTGTGGCAGAACGGGTCACGGCAGCCGGACTTCTGAAGCTGGGTAGGACAGAAGCTTCAAGAGGTGAGTCAGGTCACAGACTCCTAAAGGACACCCCTAGCTCATCCTTCTTGGTGCTGATTTACAACCTGGGGCCTCTAACTCCTCCCGCTGCCCCAACCCTGTGCTGCAGAATGTACCCCTGGGCATGAGTCACCCTTGCCCACAGGGCCCTCTTTCTCACTGTGCGTCGGGAACAGAGCTAGAGGTTTGTGTGTTAACTGTTTTCTTATTCTCCTCATTCTTTCTGTGGCTGTTGGATAAAGTGTTCTGCAGCTGTGTCTTTTGGTCCCTGTGGGCTAAAGTGCAGTTTAACTCCAATGTTTCTTTGTTGATTTTCTGTCTAGATGATCTGTCCAATGCGGAAAGTAGGGTGTTGAAATCCCTAACTGTTACTGTATTGGGGTCTCTCTCTCCCTTTAGATCTACTACTGTTTGCTTTATGTATCTGGGTGCTCTGGTGCTGGGTGCATAGATATGTAGAATTCTTAAATCCTCTTGCTGAGTTGATCCTTTTACCATTATATAGTGACCTTCTTGGTCTTGTTTTACTGGTTTTGACATAAAATCTGTCTTTTTTTTTTGAGATGGAGTCTCGCTCTGTCACCCAGGCTGGAGTGCAGTGGCCAGATCTCAGCTCACTGCAAGCTCTGCCTCCCAGGTTCATGCCATTCCCCTGCCTCAGCCTACCAGCAACTGGGACTACAGGTGCCCGCCACCTCGCCCGGCTAGTTTTTTGTATTTTTTAGTAGAGACGGGGTTTCACCATGTTAGCCAGGATGGTCTCGATCTCCTGACCTCGTGATCCGCCCGTCTCGGCCTCCCAAAGTGCTGGGATTACAGGCTTGAGCCACCGCACCCAGCCAATTTTTTGTATTTTCAGTAGAAACGAGGTTTCACCGTGTTAGCCAGGATGGTCTCGATCTCCTGACCTCGTGATCTGCCCGCCTCGGCCTCCCAAAGTGCTGGGATTACAGGCTTGAGCCACCGCGCCCAGCCAATTTTTTGTATTTTCAGTAGAAACGAGGTTTCACCGTGTTAGCCAGGATGGTCTTGATCTCCTGACCTCATGATCTGCCCGCCTTGGCCTCCCAAAGTGCTGGGATTACAGGTGTGAGCCACCATGCCCGGACGACATAAGGTCTGTCTTATCCGATGTAACTATAGTCATTCCTGCTTGTTCTTGGTTTCTGTTTGTGTGGAATCTCTTTTTCTATCCTTTTACATTCAGTCTGTCTTTACAGGCGAAGTGAGTTTCTTGTAAGCAGCATATATTGGGGTCACCTTAATCCACTCAGACAGTCTGTATCTTTTAAGTGGAGAATTGAATCCATTTACATTTGAGGTTATTACTGACAGATGTGATCTGTGTTCTTCATGCTCTGACATCTGGGGACTTGCCCAGGGACAGCCCCTCCCACACCTAGTCGATTTCGAGAGACAACAAACAATTCACTCGGGGGTGTGGTTTTATATGCAAATGAGCCAACCCAGAGCCCACGCCTCCAACCAACCATCCCCTTGATTGGGCTCTCTCAGGGTTTTACCTTCTGGGCTGCTACCCACTCGCCCTCAGCCCTCATCACCCTGAAGTCAGGTACCAGACAGCCCCTACAGCCTAGAGCCTGCTGAAGTTATTCAAACTCGCCAACCCTAAGCCTGTGACCTCTGCCCATTCCTTCCCTGGAAGCCACAATAAAGGCTCTTTACTCTCCCTATTTCCCCCGGCTCCCTCTGCCTCCTGACTGACCCTGATGCTCCCCCATGCAGGCCTGTGTGGTGTGCCATGTCCACTTCTTGGGAACTGTGAGTAACAAACCACCTTTCCAATGGCGGTCACCTCCTGATCTGTTTGCCTTGCCCAACCTGGTAACAAGAGAACCTGCATCTTAAAACAATTCACCCAAGTTTTAAAGCAAGCCTGGTGATCCTCTCCTGGAAAACTCTGGAGACAAGGAGGCTGGTGGGTGAGGTCCGCACGCACCTGCTGCTGGAACTGAGCCAGGGTGGGTGGTGTCTTGGGGATGGTGTCATCTGTCTGGGTCTCCAAGTCCTCCGCAGTGACTGCGCACCCATATATCAGGAAATTATTCATAAACTCCTGGAGGTCGTCCGTCCAGAGGTAGGAGTACCTCTCAAAGGAATCCTGGTACTCCTCAGCTTCCTTCATGGCATTGATGACGAGGCTGGACACCTCCTCCCTCATCTCTATGAGTTCTGTGTTATCTTCCAGGTCCATCTGAAAGGGGCAGGGGAGAAGAAAAAAGGGGAGGTATGTTGCCTGGTTCATAAGTTAGGGGTTGTCCTCTCGGCCTTGAGAAGTGCCTCTCTGTTGGTGAAAGGGCTTCCAGTCTCTCATGATGACCCGCTCTGTTTCCAGCCTGGGCTAGTTCACCCCTCTTTAGGCAAAACTGGTGGTCCCCCGCTCCTGGGAGGTCACCATATTGATGCCAAACTTAGTGCACAGCATACTACAGCCCAGAACTCCTGAGCTCAAGCGATCCTCCTGCCTCAGCCTCCCAAGTAGCTGAGACCACAGGCACGTGCCACTGTGCCTGGCCCAAGCTTTCACCATGGGAAATAGGAAGCTTTACCAATTTGCAATATTCTGCCATGGGAAGATATGCCAAGTGTGACGTTTGTCTGGGGAACCCCGAGATGACTCACACATTGATTCACTAATTCAATAGCTCACCCTCGCTGTGTACCACATGCTGGGATAGATACTGGGGACACAGGCAGGGAGTGTACAGCCCAGGAATGGGGTCCGACATTCATCAAAGAATCACAGACACAAAACATCTCCACCCCCTTGCTTCAGGTGAAACGGAGAGCAGGTCAGGGAATGGCCCTGAGGAAATGGCCATTGGTCTGAGAGCTGATGGATGGGTAGACAAAGAGCAAGAGAAGCGGCTTTCCTGGCAACAGCAAAGCCGGTGCAAAGGCCCTGTGGTGGGAGGAGGCAGGGCATTAGGGGAACTAAAAGACATCTACCATCAATGGCTAGAGCAGAGAGCATGAGGGGCCAGTGCTAGACAGGATCTTTTTAGTTGCAAGTGACAGAAAACCCAACCTAAACTGGTGTAAGCAAAAAGAGAACGTATTGGCTTATATACAGGACTGGAGAATCCCAGGTGGTGGGTGTGTTTATTAATCACATTTTTATTGTCTGTATCTTATGAAATTTTGACATCTTATTTTTTTTGAGACAGAGTTTCACTCTGTCGCCCAGGCCAGAGTACAGTGGCCCGATCTCAGCTCACTACAACCTCTACCTCCCAGGTTCAAGTGATTGTCCTGCCTCAGCCTCCCTAGTAGCTGGGATTACAGGCTCCCACCACCATGCCTGGCTAATTTTTTACTTTTTTTTTTTTTTGAGATGGAGTCTTGCACTGTTGTCTAGGCTGGAGTACAGTGGCACCATCTCAGCTCACTGCAAGCTCCGCCTCCTAGGTTCATGCCATTCTCCTGCCTCAGCCTCCTGGGTAGCTGGGACTACAGGCACCCACCACCACGCCCGGCTAATTTTTTGTACTTTTAGTACAGACGGGGTTTCACCATGTTAGCCAGGACAGTCTCCATCCCCTGACCTTGTGATCTGCCCGCCTCGGCGTCCCAGTGCTGGGATTACAGGCGTGAGCCCACCACCACGCCCGGCTAATTTTTTGTACTTTTAGTACAGACGGGGTTTCACCATGTTAGCCAGGACAGTCTCCATCCCCTGACCTTGTGATCTGCCCGCCTCGGCGTCCCAGTGCTGGGATTACAGGCGTGAGCCACTGTGCCCGGCCAATTTTTTGCATTTTTAGTAAAGGTGGGGTTTTGCCATTTTGGTCAGGCTGGTCTCCAACTCCTGACCTCAGGTGAACCACCCGCCTCAGTCTCCCAAAGTGCTGGGATTACAGGTGTGAGCCAATGTGCCCGGCCCAATTTTGACATCTTAAAAAAACAAACAAAAAAACTTTATGGGGCCAGGAAGAGCCTGCCCTTCCCAGGGCTAGGCAATTCTTGGAGATGGCAAAGGACCCTCAGCTGGGGGCATGCCGTCCATATGCAAACCAGCCGACCCTCAGCCACTCCCTTTACCCAACTCTCACACCAAGCCAGTATTTCCCCGCCCTAAATCACCCAGGCTCAGGTACCAGACAACTGGAGACTGCCCCTGTAGCCCAGAGCCTACCTCACAGCTGCAGAGAGACCCCATCTGGGCCCAGATGTGCATGGGGATCTTGTCTGCTCAGGGGACCTCGTTGGTAAGGGTTAGGACAAGGAAACGCTGTGATTGAGGAGGTGAAGTCAGTGGGCCTGGGAAGGAAGGGGAAGGTTGGTCCTAGGGCTGGGCTGGGCCACCCTGCATGTAAGCTGTGGATGAAAAGAAGCCACAGGGGAGAGAAGCCTGAAGCTCCTTGTGGCTGCAGGAAAACATTTGGGGTATGCTTCGGAATTCAGTCTCAGGCTCACCTGTGCCTGACACGTGGCTCTCGCCTCCCCCATGACCCTCTTTCTGCCCAGGGTGGGGAGCGCAGTGTTCAGAGCACGAGCAGGTGCTTCAGGATTTCAGTGTGGTAACTTCCAGGCATCCCCCTGCTCCAGCCGAGATTGTCCCCTGCACTCCTTTGGATCTCTCCAGGTGGGATCCAAGTTCCAGCTGGGCTGGGCTGGTGGTAGCCTGGCATGCCAGGGGCAGGCAGGGCCCACTGCCTGGGGGCTTCGCCCTCGCTGGTCTCCCCTGTAGGCAGCCTGAGGCCCACATTCTGTCTCCTCCTTGTCCTGACCCCAATTCCTCTGGGCTGGCCACCCTGGTACCCATGGGAAGCATCCCTTGGGTACTCTCTGCCACCAAGCGAGGGTACCTGGGTCTCTGGGAAGTGGTCCTGGGACCCAGCAGTCTAGAAGCCTGACCCTCTCATTGTCTTCCACAGCTTGGCACCACGTAAGAGTCTGCTAGACCAGCAGGCTTTTGAGGGACCCTTCTCCCAGGCAACAGGCCCTTCAGCTCTGGAATGTTCTGCCTGAACGTCCCAGGGTGTCTGCAAGACAGCCCGAGTGTGTGTGCTGGCAGAGCCCGGGGTGGAGCAGCTCTGACTGCAGCAACCGTGGGTGCCTGAGAGCAGCCTGCTTTGGGGACAGTAGGAGGGGGCACATCCGGGACACACTGATTCTGAGGATGCGTGCTAGCTAACCCAGCGTCTGTGTAACTGGGGCAGATTCTATTCTCAACTCTGGAACAGCTTGCTGCCTGCACTTGTGCCTAAAATCACAGCCATCTTCTCAGCATGGAAACCTCCTCCCGCCCTCCCAGAAACCGCTCACATGCCCACTCCTCTCGGGAGCTGCCCTTGACCTTCTCAGGTCGTTAGCTGTTCCCTCGTGTCCTCACTTCACCTCGGTACACACATGCCTCCCCCCAACACATGTAAATATGCACACGGGCACATATGCATCCAAGCACACGCGTACACACACAAGCACACGCACATCCCCCTCTCCTGGACAGGACAACTCATCTCGCTGTAAATATTGGTTATAACAAATCATACGTGTCCATTATTTTACAATTCAAACAATGCAGAAATGCATGAGAGAAAAAGCCTGCGGCCACACCCCTCCCCCCTCCCTCCTTCCTCCCATCCTGGTGAGCACTCACCCAGATTTTTGCTTGTTTCAGCAAATGAAACCATATTCTAAACATTGTCCTGTAACTTGATAAACATTCTAATAACCTGTCACAACACCTTTCCATCCCTGGCTCGCTGGGACAACTCACAGAATCTGTGTTTGAGCCAGAACTGGTCAAGCCGCTCCCCTCTTCCACAAACATGTAGGTCATTTAAGTCTTTTCTGATTTTTTTTTTTACTGCTATACAAATAGATGCTTCAACAAACACACCACCTCCAACCTCCCTTAAGCGGGAGCTAAATTTCCCATGACTTTTGTCCTTCCTCCCCCAGAGCCTGGCCAGGTCTCTGTGTGTCTTGTTTGATGCGTTTAGAAGAGATGATTTCGGAAGGCAGTGGAAGGCGCATTTATCAAATTGCCTGAGTACTGGGAGAATCAGTGTTTACATTACAGGACTGAGACTGGGCACGGTGGCCCACACCTGTAATCCCAGCACTTTGGGAGGCCGAGGCAGGTGGATCGCTTGAGTTCAGAAGTTTAGGCAGGGTGCAGTGGCTCACCCCTGTAATCCCAGCACTTGGGGAGGCTGAGGCAGGCGGATCACGAGGTCAGGAGATTGAGATCATCCTGGCAAAACCACGGTGAAACCCTGTCTCTACTAAATATACAAAAAAAAAAAAAAATTAGCCAGGCATGGTGGCATGCACCTGTAGTCCCAGCACTTTGGGAGGCTGAGGCAGGAGAACTGCTTGAACCCAGGAGGCAGAGGTTGCAGTCAGCTGAGACTGTGCTACTGCACTCCAGCCTGGGTGACAGAGCAAGACTCTGTCTCAAAAAAACAAAAAAATAAAAAAATAAAGAAGGTTAAGACCACCCTGGGCAACATGGCAAAACCCCATGTCTACAAAAAATACATCAAGCTGGGCTTGGTGACACATGCTTGCAGTCCCAGCTACTTGGGGGACTGAGGCGGGAGAATCAATTGAGCCCGGGAGGCGGAGGGTGCAGTGAGCCGAGATTGCACGACTGCACTCTAGCCTGGGTGACAGACTGAGACCCTGTCTCAAAAAAATTACAGGACTGAGTGAACAGTCAGGAAGTTGGGAGAGGTTACCCTCTTGGCATGGTGTTGGGGGGTCAGAGGAATGATGAGGGAACGAAACCCAGGCAGGTTGACTGAGAAGAAGCCACTTTGGGCAGGAGGACAGATGTGGGAGTGGGGAGAGAAGTGGCCATGTCGTCCTAGAGGTCACACGATGTCATTTAAAAGGTAAACAGCCCGGCCTTGTCGAGTTAGGGCGGCAACACCAAATGGGGAAAGCAATGGATGGCCCCACGTGTGGCCAGAAGAGGCCAGGACTGACCTTGTAGTTCATCCTGCCCTTGGCCAACCGAGGGATGAACCTGGCTACGTTGTAGATGTCATTGACCAGGCCCTCGATCAGCGCCAGGAAGCCGTGCTCCGAGCCCACCTCCAGCGACGGGCGGAAGGTCAGCCCATCCTCGTCCAGCTCCATGCGGATCTCAAACAGGGGAGCGATGCTCTCCTGACACAGGGACAAGGTTGGCAGTGGTCAACACCTCTGTCCTCCTTCGGACGATTCTCAGTACCCTGATCGTCCACTCTGCACCATCAATGTGCCACTGCCTTCCAGTAGCCTGGGAAGCTTCTGAGAGCTCATGTCTCAGCGCACTCTGCTCCTTGAGCAATCGCTACAGAGACAAATATGCACAGCCACAAGGCCAAAAGCAGGCAGGTGCAGGTTGGGGCAAAGGGAGGGGCAGGATCAGGTAGACCTCAGACCTCAGACCTCAGTTCAAAGCCTGCACCTGCTACTTGCCAGCTGTGAGGCCTTGGGGAGTCACTTAACTCCCAGCTTCCCCAAATATATAAAATGAGGCTAAACATTTTATAGAATGGAGACATTGTTGACCTGGTGTGGTGGCTCACGCCTGTAATCCCAGCACTTTGGGAGGCCGAGGCGGGTGGATCACCTGAGGTCAGGAGTTTGAGACCAGCCTGGCGACATGACCAAAACCCGTCTCTACCCAAAAACAAAAAAAAAAAAAAAAAAATTTTAGCCCGGCCGGGTGGGTGGTGGGCCTATAACCCCAGCTACTCGGAGGCGAGGCAAGAGAATTGCTTGACCCAGGAGGCAGAGGTTGCAATGAGCTGAGATCATGCATTACACTCCAGTCTGGTAACGAAGCACAAACGCTCTCAAAAAAAAAAAAAAAAGGAGACATTGTTTCCATTGTTCTGGGTTACTGCAGGGACTAAATGAATCACTAACACACAAAGCAGGTACTGCAGGGGCTGGCCAAGCCTGCCTGTCCCTCTCCCTGGGAAGTCCCGTTTATAGAGCTCTGGAGGCCCCTGGGAGGCTGCAGGGCTGCATGTGCTGGTCTGGTTTACAGTGATGGGATTGAGGTCAACCCTAGCGCTCCTCCTGCCAAACCAACGATTCTCCAAATGTGGGCCAGGATCCACCAGGCTGTGAGATCACACTGTGGTCATTGATCTGTCCCCGAGAGAGTCCCCGTTGGACCTGTGGGTGGTGGGCTTTTGAGCCCTCCAATTTGTCTATGAGCAGGAGGGGCTGTATCAGTATCTCAGTGAGGTGCTAATTGGGACAAACAGTCAATTGTCATGGACTTGTGTGATCAGACTTTTCTAAAGACTCAGGTCGGCTCCTGCCCCCAGATGGTAGGAGAACTCCTTGGAACTCTTTGAGGAGGACAATTTGCTACCAGGACTTCTTTACGGTTTTCACTGAGACGTTTTCACTGGGACAGTTGTAGAGATGATTACTTTCATCAACTGAATTTTGGGTCTGTAACTGGTTACCAGCTGGCCTCTGAGACCCATGTGCCAGGCTCCAACACCATCCACCCTCCCTGGCCGGTATGAGGCACGCCACTGCCACGTTCCTTTGCCGTTGGTGGCCTGGAGGAGTCTTTGATCTTGGCCTCCTGGTGGTACTCAAAATCATTTAGAAGCCATCACAACAAAAAAGACACAGGATCTGGCGTGGTGGCTCCTGCCTGTAATCCCAGCACTTTGGGAGGCCAGGGTTGGTGGATTATGAGGTAAGGAGTTCAAGACCAGCCTGGCTAAGATGGTGAAACCTCGTCTCTACTAAAAATACAAAAATTAGCCGGGCGTGGTGGCAGGTGCCTATAAGCCCAGCTACTTGGGAGGCTGAGGCAGAGAATTGCTTGAACCCAGGAGGTGGAGGTTGCAGTGAGCTGAGATCGCGCTACTGCACTCCAGCCTGGACAACAGACGACTGTGTCTCTAAAAAAAAAAAAAAAAAAAAAAAAAACGACACAGGTAGGAAAGGGGCCATTGCCATAAAGAGAATGCCTCCATGGGATTAACCAGCACAACCTCTTTGCTGACTGGTTTACCTGCTCCTCAGCTGTCTAGAATTGAGTAGGTGAATGGCTGTTACTGCTGACAGGAGACCCTCCCCCCAGTCCACACGAGTAGGGGGCAGTGGTGTCCACTTTCCCTCACCTGGCAGTGAGGTAGGACCACCCTCTTAGGTCTCCTGAGGTTTTCTGCAGCCAACTTAAGTTATGGCAGATTTAAGGTGACCAGTGGTCCTGAGTGCCTGGGACTGAGGAGATTCTGAGATGCAGGACTTCCAGGTTTGAAACCAGGTCAAGTGGATCACCTAAGGTGTATTTTAATAAGTCTATAAAATGATAGCCTGTTCTTTCATCAGGAAATTAGAAACTATAGATTCTAACATATAAGAATACATATACACATATATATATTACCTTATGTCTATAACTTACATCTGTAACCATGTTGTCCATCAGGAAATTCAGAGATTTGTGAATGAACTGGTCAAATTCGACTAAGACCATGTCGTCAATGTAGATGACATAATCCTTCCAGGGCAGACTCAGTGTGTCTGCCCTGAACAGTTCTGCATTTTCCTGCAAACAGAAGCAAACAGTTGGGCCCCGCTTCACTGGGTGTGTTTGCTTTTCCATCACACTGTTTAGTGACTCTCTGGACCACCCCTTCATGTTCACAGGCCAGACACACGGGGCTGCTTTGAGCATCTTGCAGGTGTTGGCCTCCTTCCTACACAAGGCTTTGCACGGCTGCTCCCTCACTTTCTTGCTGGATCTGGCTTCCAATCTTTTTGATTTCAGCTCAAATGTCCCTTCCTCCCAAAGGAATACCTCCATCTCTAGTTGGGTTTCCTCTAGCAACCTGTTATTTATGCTCACCATGGCTCAGAGGGCCACTCAGAATTATTTTATTTACCCGTCTTTGTCTTTGGTCTGCATGCCCTTTTGATGCGCAAATTCATGAGGCCAAATGTTGACCATCCTCTCCAACACTGTACCCCCAGCACTCAGCAGTATGCCTGGCACAGAGCAGGGGCTGGTGGGTGGGTGGTTGGTTGTATGGGTGGATTAGTGGGTGGGGTGCGTTGATGAGTCAGGTGGGTGGATGGACAGATGGATGGATGGGGTTCGTAGATGGGTGAGTGGGTGGGTGGGTGGGTATGTGAATGGATGGGTGGATGGGTGGATGGGTGGATGGGTGGGTGACTGGGTGGGTGAGTGAGTGGGGTAGGTGAACGGACAGATGAATGGGGTGGGTAGGTGTGAGAGTCCATAGATGGATGAATGGGGTGCATAGATATGTG